TAAACATATATTATATTGCTCTAACAACAAACTAATACGTTTCTAAGAAAAAATTTACTCAACTCAATCTTTCTTTTGTAACAATAAAACTGTTTCTACTTTAGTTACGAATAATTCGTCAATTTGATTATACCAACGAAATTTGGTCACTTTTAATATTCAGCAGCAATGACAATTTTGCTACAACAGCAATATTATTTTCCTATGTATAATATTTTAGAATTAAGTAAACAAATCAAAGCTGATTATTTTATTCCATAAAAATCTTTAAAAAACGCAAAAGTAGGTATTATATTGCTGCATTGAAAAAAAATTTTACTAAATTTCAAAAAACGTTTGTTTGGATACAACTGGGAACATATTTGTTTAAATTAAGTAATGAATTTCTAAAATCAAGGAAAAAAATTTATATTTAAAATTTTTTATTTAATTTTAGAAAATAATTATTTAATCTTGAATTTTAATTGTTTAATTCTTTAATTTTGAATCCTAGTATTTCAATCAAAAATATTAAATTCTTAGCATTTCAATTAAGAATATTAAATTAAAACAAAATAAAATAAAGTTTTATAATGTTCTTGCAGAAAGAATAAATTCTAAGAATAAATTCTTCTTCGAGGCGTGCATGGAAACTAAACGTACAAACATACAAAAACCTTAAAACTTTTTTAATATCTGTTTGCAAAATTTTCATTAAGGATATCTATCTTTATTTTTCCACATAGTTTCCGCCAACGTTCAAACGCGTATTAAGTTTGGGAAGCTTCTATATCCCCGCATCATAGGTATTTTCCGTCAATTTTTTGAACCACATTACTTCCTCATCATCGTCGTTTAATTTTTCGCCAAGTCTCTTTAGGTGAAAAAAACAAGTAAAAATCACTGAGCAAAACCCAAAATGTATGTGTATGTGTGTGTGTGTGCGGCGGAAAATCCAAAACATTCTATTTGAAACTGTTTAGCAGCGCAGTGGGATGATGCGTGTGGTGTAGGGCCATACATTTATCCTGCAACAGATAAATATTATAAATAGCAATAATTTATCTGTGAACTTCCGCCAGACGGTTATCTTTCAATTTAGAAAACGTATCATGAGACGATCCTTACATTTGGCAGAATACAGGATAAGCGCCATCGTTTTTTAACTTATCGTTCACAGTTTGTGCAAAACCTACTTTCATTCTACCAAATAAAAACGAAATGATTAAAGTCCAAGTGAATTTAGTTACCACTCGCAAAAAAATTTTCTTAAATGCAATGTATCTTTATTTTTTCGGAGATACCTCGTAACAGTAAGTTTTTTAAAAATTTGTAATAAATATATTGTAAAGCGATTGTCAAGAAAATGTTCTTTGGTGAAGATAAATATTACTTAAAAGAAAGAAAGACACTAAGTAACCGCTTTTTTTAATAGAATATTTTTTATGTGGATGGTTATGATTTTTCATCTCATAATTACACAACTTTTTGTTCAGCCATTAATTAACTTATTTATATAGCCATTAGGATAATCAAATGAGAGCGTTACATTACTAATTAGAAACGATATTAAGCATAAATTTATTATCTCGTAATTACACAATCGCAAAGTTCAACTTCTATACTAATCCTTTGTAATTTAGATAGACGTATGTTGTCGCTATCTGCTGAGACTTTTGCGAAAGAATTGAGGCGGTCGGGCGACATTGCTTCAATATATCGTTCAATCTCGTCCACATTAAACTCCCGGGTGTGTTCGTTTAATCTTCGATTAAAATCTCAATTTCAACGAAACGCGATCGCTTCCTTTATTATCCTGCGTTAATAGAGTCGTCGAGCGAGCGGCTGAATAATTGCGCTTCGCGCGAGAGAGCGATTTTTCATTAGCCTTTATGCATACGTAAACGCGCGTATTTCTTCGGACGCGCGCCCGACGAGGCGCACTTGCAAAAAGCCGCGAAACTCGGCGAAGTCGGGCGCGAGCAGGATGCGGCGCAATAAGGCGCAACTGAGAAAGATATTAATCGACGCCGAGGCCTGTCGTACGTAATTTAGAATCGAGTTATCGCAATGCGCGAGTGAGCGAGCGCTCGCGCGTGTTGGCTCCCTCGGAACGAAATTAATAACAATTTGCGGTAATGGGGACCCACCCGTAAATTACGAATCGACGAGAGAGCCTCGTTTTTAATTTCGCTCGCCGCCATGGCGGCAAGCGGCGAAAGTGCGTGCGCGCGCGCGCGCCTCCGCGAGGAAGAATATTTCGTCGTGCGCGAAACGGAGAACGGCGAGAGATATAACTGTAATTGAACGACTCTTAAATATTCATCAGGCGTGCGCGGTTCATTCACGTTAACTCCCGTTCGCCTTTTAGTCGCTATTTTAGTGGTTACGGCTGAACGGATAAAAACGAGCATCAATGACAAGCCGGTGATAAATGTCGGTTCTTAAGCTCGACTCTGTGTCCCCCTTGTTCCCTCCTTGAGGGTTGATGTTTTACCGACAATCCTCGATTTTTCTATCGGCTCATGCCGGAAGCGGTTTCCTTTCTGCGGTCCTTTCCGGTCGTGTACTCGCCACGCTGACAGCGAATAAAAACCGCGACTTTAAGATAGATAATAATTCATTCTAATGACACTGCGACGAATGACGTTCTTTAGGACGAATGACGTTCTTCCGGAGGATAATTCGGTACTAACGTTAAAGAAATTTTATGGATCGTATTGTAAGTTACAAGTACAATTATTGGATTCCTTGTAATCGAAATCGCACATGTGGTCGGAAAATATGACTTCCGGTATGAAATACCGTAGAAATTTGATTTCAAGTTATATAAATTATCGTTGAAGCAGAATTCACCACATAAAGCGAGAAGAATAATACAATAATTCTGCATCTCTCTCTCTCTCTCTCTCTCTCTCTCTCTCTCTCTCTCTCTCTCT